GAGAGGGAGAAGAGTCAAGGAATGAAGTGGATGAAGAATCTATTGCGTCAGACTAGAGTGCAGTCACGCCTCCGCCCTCGACCTTGAAAAGACCACCAGTGTAAGAGCCAGTAAATCGTCTAGAGGGTGGCCTGAAAATTCACAGAATGGTCCATGTTCCTCCCAGTAACAAGAAGAATGGTGCCCTGAGAAAGTGTCGCGTGAGTGCTAAGCACAAGATTAGAAAAGAAACAAGTGTCATATGTGCAGGCTGTGGTGTGGCTCTCTGCAAAATTTCAGGTTTCAATGTTTATCACACAAAGAAAAACTAATAAAGAGGTATGGAAAGGCATTTATTGCATAAAATATTGTCTTTTAATTAGTTCCTGAAAAGTTCGTTTTTAAAAACCAATTTTTGTTGAAGTTGTTTAGGAAAAAGTAACTACATGCATTTTAGCAACATAAGGTTTAAAGGGCCTGCCAGGACAGGGGTGGGATTTAAATACCCTTTGCGCCAGTCAAAGAGTTAATATTCATTTTTCCCATGTGTTCACGTTTTGAAAATCTCTGTTTATAATGAAATTTGATGTTTGATGAAGTTCACTGTAATATTGTACTACTACTTGTAGATATATATTTCCTCTCCATTGCTCATCACAGGTACTTTTTAATTGTATCTTAACAGCACTTTGTGTTAGTAGTAAGCCTGATGTACTTCATTACAGGTCGTGCCAGACTATCGTCTGCGGCCTCTGGTACGATCATTCCTCAGGCCTTTTGTGTGTTCATGCCCACCAGTATGTTATGAATCTGTGCTTCTTCCAATACTGGCTCACATATGCCCATACAGTAAGTTTGTATAGTTTATATTAGATGGAAAAACATGTAAGACCATTTTAATTTCTCTCCTCCTCCTCCTCCTCTTTCTGTCTGTCCGTTTTAATTTCAAGGAGACCATAATTTTTTTTTAGTACTAAAGCATTCACACTCTTCCATTGCTTGCCAGTTATTGGATGCGTAACGCAATTGTTATGTGGCTTCATGGTAATTAATAATAGAACATTGTTTGAAAGCAGTATCATTATAGCCCAGAATACTTTAATAATAAATGAACAATATGATTATTTCAGTACAGTTTATTTCAAGAAAATCCCAAATGAATAATAGCCAGTGTGGCAGCTTGTTTTGGTTGTGTAAGATTGTCATGATGAATAAACATGAAATTTAAAAAAGTGACTCATTTTTCAGTGTTCAGTCATCTTAATGACAAATGGCAGTACATTGCACAGTTGTATGAGTCTGGTGGAATGGATGAAGAAAACACTGATACCCAGGTGAGTGTTCTGATGTACTGGGTGTTTTGTATGCATGGCAGCACACACGTATGTGATCTTCTAAAGTCTGCGTTCATTATTTATGAAATTCCATAATATCTTAGAGAAATTGAGGAGACTAAAGAACATAACATGAGGAAGAGCCCCATATTCATACACTTCACCAGATATTAGGATGACAGAATCAAGGAGGATTAAATAGGAAGGATATGCAGCATACATGGGAGATACAAGAAATGAATATAAAAATTTTATGAAACCTGAAAGGAAAAGACGGGTTGTCAGATTTAGATGTAGGTTTCACGATAACAGTAGAATGGATCTTGTAAAAATATAGGATATGAGGATGTGGACAGGATTCAGCTGTTTCAGTAAAGGTTCCAGTGTTGGGCTTCTCCATATGATCACACAGGTTCTGTGAAAGACAGGGAATTTCTTGACCAGCTGAATGACCTCATAACAGAACAGAAATATACATAATTTAAAAAGATGGACAATTTAAATAGAAATATTAAATTTTATATGGCATATGGGTACTGATGCTTATGCAATGGAAAGCTAAATCCAGTCCAATTTTTCTGTACTTCATCACTGCACACTGGTCCAAAAAGTGATTTACTGCTAGGGTCTGAGGCTCTTTAGCATACCTGATGGCATCATATGTAATTTGGAAGAATGAAAGTATCTGCATGTCAGGATAGTCTGTTGCTTCTGTATGGTCCTTCATATTTGCATCATGTGACTTATTAATCTAACTGTATTCAGTAGGTGCTGGTTAGGGAAACTCAATCAGAATAGTGACAGACTACAGGGTGGATGGGCTGAGGAATTCAGCTTATTATATTGATCACTGATTCTTGGCAGGAGCAAGAAAATTTTCTCTTCCCCACTCTGTCTAAACTGACTCAGGAACCCACCCAGCCATGCATTTTGTTGGTGTGGTATTTAATTAAGCACAGGAACAGCTACCTTTTCAGTTATTGTAAATGTTGGGGGTATGCAGTAGTGTAATTGGTTGAGGCACTATGCTCCAAGCTTGAAGGTCGCATGTTCAAGATTTTTTTCAAATGACCCAATCCTTCTAGCCACACTATGGCCCTGGGGTTGACACAGCCTCTAACAGAAATGAATACCAGGAGTATTCTTGGAATATTCTTGGGGGTAAAGGGCGGCTGGTGCGTAGGGCTGACAACCTTGCCGCCATCTATGAGCCGATTGTCTAGAAAATGTGGGAGCCTCAACATCTCAACCCTATGGGCCTCCATGGCCTGTAACAGGTATCCCTTTACTCTACCTTACTATAAAAGTGTGACTCTTAGCAGCCTCCGTAGTCTAGGGGTAACGTTCCCACCTCATGACTCAAGGTACATGGGTTCAAACCCGGCGGAGGTAGTGGAATTTTTAAGGGCGGAAAAATTCATGGAACAAGTCCTCCGGGAGGGACTCTAAGCCCTGTGTCCCGTGTTGTAGATTTACGGCGATCCTCATGTCTCTAGGAGACCTCTGAGCAAAATTAGGCAAAGTTTCCCACCCAGATAGTTTCCAATTCTTCCGGTAGATGGGGAAGTATTGGGGACCACTGCCAGAGAGGGCTGACCTCGCTGGCAGAACGGGGCTGATAGTGAGCACCAGTACTGGAAGGGGAAACTATTTGGGTGGGAAACTTTGCCTAATTTTGCTCAGAGGTCTATGTCATACCTTAAAAAAGTTCTTAATTATCATCACAGTGGACAGCTGTATCCACAAATTTGACATCTGGTGACTGTGGTATCCATAAGTTTTATATGAGAATGTTTCCTTTCAAAACATATTTTTATGTTGTACATAGATTCATGTCTTATTGATCATCCTCTCTGGCAGTACAAGATGAACATCAAATGCAGAAGCATGGTCGTGGTTCAGATACAGATCTGAATAAACTACTTGTCATTTTTTTTTATTGCTAGTGGGGTGGGACTAGTTCCCTTGTACTACAGCCACTTCTGGCCTATTGTACCAGCCCCGGATGACAGGTGAGGGTGATTGTGGAGCAATTGGTGGAATGAAGATTTGCAGGGGAAACTGAAGTACTTGGAGAAAACCTTCCCCAGTGCCACTTTGTCCACCACAAATCCCACTTGTCCAGACCTGGCATCGAACCCGGGCCGCCACGGTGGGAAGCCAGCGACTAACCGCTTGAGCTATGGCATGGCCTACATGTCATTTTGGTGGAAATGGAAACCAAAATCTCATGATTACTGCTTTTGAAATAATTCAATATTAAAATGGATCTTAGAGAGATAGGATTGGATGGTATGGATTAGATTGATCTGGCTCAGGATAGGGACGAATGGAGGGCTCTTGTGAACATGGTAATAAACCTCCGGGTTCCATAAAATGCAGGGAAGTTCTGGTGTAGCTGCAGAATTTGCAGCTCCTGCGGAAGGGCTCAGCTCCATGAGTAAGTAAGTAAGTTGATGCTATACTGCGTGGATAAGTGCACATTGAGATATACAGTTATCGATTGTGTGTCTTCTCAGGACTTATAGTTGCATTTGTTATTATGCATTTCTTCTTCATGAATGTAACATAATCTCCTGTTTTTGATTGAAAATCAAGGTGAATAAATCTTTTCTTTTAGTAAGTGCAGTATTTATCATTAATATACCATATTTTCTGAACAATTTTTCCCTGAAAACAGGAAATGCTGGAAGATATGTTGAATCGCACAGTTACTCGTGAGTACCTGGATGTCTTGAAAGTGGTTCTTGTAGGAGGAAGTAGTGAAGTGGTATGTAATGCCATGGAACAAGATGATGCGGAGTGTACACGCCCAAATACAGCCAGCCTTCAAGCAGAGGTTGTAAGTGAGCTTGGAACACTTACACTGAGAAATGAAGCAACTTGTCAATCAGTCACTTTGTGCGTTCTCAGGTAATATAGATGTTCATATTAAGCATGTGTAAAGGTCAGATTTAAAATAACTTTTCAACTCTTGAGTTTCCACATTGCTTAATTTATCCATCATTTATTTGTTATAGCTGGTTTTTATGATAGACATTAGAAATAAGTAAATTATGAACTTAGGACCATCTTATGTTTACTTTTATTATTTATATAGTTTATCCACCCTGACCTTGGTGTACTGCGCTGTCATCTGTTTCATTCCTTTAAAATAGCCTAACTGACTACAGAAACAAGCTACATATATATGATGTACTGACTAGCAGTCCTGCCCTCTTTTATACTTGTTGCTTCACAACAGAGATACATATAACGTAAGAATAGTTTATGTGTTATGCATGAGAAGCTTAACACAGGTGTTTCTTCTGTACTGTCAAGATTTAGCCCACTAGAGCCTGTTTCAGTTATGATTTAACCACCTTGTTTCAAGTCTCCCAACTTTTTTTTTACCCCCAAGATTTGTATTGCATCGCTTTCCTAGGTAGTCTGATATCCTCCATCCCTTCCACATATGTTCTCCATCGCTTTCTGTATTTTGCCTGCAGCCTTAAGGAGGGAGCAGTGTGATGTGTTGACCCGTTTCTAAGAAGTGACTCTTTAAACAGCAGTTGTTGCTAGATAATACCTGCAGCATACACGTACACAACAATAAAATAATGGCGTGTTCTGTGTAGTTCGGCATGGTAAACATGTCTCTACAGTGATAGAGGGGCTGTGTTTCCTGCATAAGCAGTGCCAAGAACTTATCTTCAAGACAGTTGAGGCCACCCAGGAAGTTGTCAGTTGAGAGACAGTTCTGTATGGGAGGCTGTGAAGAGAAGACTTTATGTGTGATATTTGGAGTGTGTAATTCAGTGAGTGTTACGGTTCCTGTGTTAAAATCTGTTGCCAGGAAATGGGTAGTGGAGACGGTAACAGACTGAGGACACTAGTCTGTGTGTTAGTGTAATCATGAGTCGTCATCGTATAAGTGGTCAGTAAATCTATTCACCAATCCAGACCCCATCTATAGTCACTCATATGCATGACAATATTTATAATCTCCTCACTTGCTGAAAATCTCTAGAAATCACTAAATAATTGAAGCACATGAATATGTGATAGTATAATATGTTGTAAGTAATTTTATTGGCATTGATTAAAGGTGGTAGATCAGTTTTGGAGGAGAAATTGAGCAGAAAACCAGCTTTTATGCAATTAACTGGTAATTTCTCTAATTCGATAGCTTATTAAGTAAAAATATGGTGTATGGAATTGAATGAGTGGTTTTGTTGCAAGTTACGAGAGTTGGTGTCTTCGACAGGGCTCTTTGCTGGAATGATTCCACAGCAAGCTTGAAGGCAGCAAACCTGACTGGTCCAATGGTGCGTCAGCTTTCTAGTGATGGCAGCTTAACTCCTGATGTGGCGGCACATATCATGGCCTGTGTTCTGCAAGCACTTCAATTACATGGACAGCATGAATCTAATCTAGGTTCACTGCTTGCATTGGGGGCTCAGCTTTATGAAATACTTCGTCCATCGTTCCCCAATATTGTAGAGGTATGTGCAAGCTTGTGCTTTTATGAATATAATTATCCACCATATGTGTGTGAGTGGACCACCTCTGTGGTCGAGTGGTCAGAGTTTCTGGCTACAGATCCAGAGGTCCAGGTTCGATTCCCGTCGCCACCAGATTTTCTGAGAAGTAGTGGGTATGGAACGGGGTCCATTCAGCCTCGTGAGGATAACTGAATAGCTGTTTCAAGGAAATAATGGCTCTGGTCCAGAAAACCGAGATTAATGGCCATGGGGATCCATTGCGCTGACTACGTGACACCCTCTATCTACATAAGTTGGCACCAACTTCGCCGACAAGTGGCAGTCGCTCAGTTGGTATAGTTAGCTTGTGGACTACAGCCCACGGAGTTTCTTTTGTTTATGTATGTGAGTGCCTCTTAGTGTTTCTGTCTGTCTGCCTGCCTGCATACAGTCCCTCTGCTCTGGAAGAACAAATTTCGCTGAAATTTGGTATTTATAACCAACAGACAAACAAACTCCATGGCTGTAGTCCGCAGTTGAACTATACCAACTGATTGACTGCCACTTGTCGGCAAAGTTAGTGCCAACATTAGCGGATAGAGAAGTCACATGGTCAGCACAACGGATCCCCATGGCCATTAATACCGGTTTTCTAGACCGGAGCCACTATTTCCTTGAAATAGCTCCTCAATTATTCTCACGAGGCTCAGTGGACCCCGTTCCAGACCCAGTACCTCTCAGAAAATCTGGTAGCGCTGGGAATCGAACCCTGACCTCAAGATATGTAGCCAGGAACTCTGACTACTAGACCACAGAGGCAGTTGGTATTTATAACCAAACCATGACCACAGTTTTACTAAATTGAATATTTGTACAGATTGGATAAAGTGAAACATAACCTAAATATACTTCTTGGTCTCAGAGGATATTGTGTTATGTGGAAAGTTTCAAAGTGAAGGAAATGGATTACACTGAGCAGTGGGCTGACATCAAATTTTGCCAGGAACTGTCAGAATTGTAGGCAGAATCATTGGCAGATGTTTTGGATGGCATACACATATAGTGAACAAATGTCATGATCTAATGTGTTTAGTGGAAACCAGGCACAGAAATGGATTCCTGAATTTTATAATTACTAATTTCATGTTCCTAATAGCCTTACTGTGTTAAACATTTGAAGAGCAGTAGTTTATGTCCTGGTCCAAGATGTGAGCAACATCACAGGTTCAAGGGTGATCATGAATTTTAAGATGTTTCTCCTTAAGATTTTATGGCTGGAGAACTTCAGTTTTGGGGAATAAGCCACAAAGAAAGTTGAAGGTTTTCCATTCTGACAGACATTGCAGTTATCATCTTCAAAGTTAACATCATCTCTGAAGATGGCAATTGCAGTGTTTGCCAAAATGCTTATTACTGTCACGTGTTGGGTATGTCATACAACAAATAACTTTACCTGGGTCTCAGATTTAGCAGATCTTTATTGGACATTCACTCTTACACACCCTACAATTGTTATAACTTCAACTGTATGCTGCAGCAGCTATCTTCCAGCTGTGTCGTGTGGCGACTTGGTTCCAACTGTGTTGTTGCTGTCTGTGGCTCTCAGCTTATGTAGGTGTTCTGCGGACTCAGTAGAGGAGACCCCTCGCCAAGGTTCGATCTCACGTGTTTGGCAATCCATTGCTTCGGGAACACTCTTTATACGCTGGAAACGAGTTTTGTCTCATCCGTTGTTACTCAGCGGCCTTCTGTTGTTCATCTCCGGGGAAACGCGGTCATTGTTTCTGCAATTCCTACACAACGGCCCACTGTTATTGCGCTACCATGGAAGTATCTACTCCAGACACATTACATTACATTGCATGATCATACCTTGTTAATATTAATAATCGAATGTCTTGTAATAATGCATAATAATTTCTTTTTAACAAAAGGTTATGAATCAGATACCCAACTGCAACCCCCAAGAGCTGCAGAAACTCGATGAGAAGATACTGTCCACCAACCAGAAGGGCAACAAAGTAGAGAAGACCAAGAAGGATATATTCAAGAGACTGACCAGCCAGGTTGGTGATACAGCTAACTTAACATTACTGCAGGTCACATTATAAAATGGGATAGTAAGTTGCTTTTATGAATTACAGTGTAGCATGTGATTTCATTTAGAATGGATTATAAGATAAAATTAAAATTATTATCAGTTATCTGAAAATATTTCGGTCAGTATAGCAACAGGCAATGGGTTGGATGGCCAGGGTTCAATTCCCAGCAGGGGCAAAAGATTTTTCTTTTCTCCCCAGCATTCAGACCAGCCCTGGGGCCCACCCAGCCTCCTATTCAATGGGTACTGGGGGCTCTTTCCCTAGGGGGTAAAGTGGCTGGGGCATGTAGCTGACCAATCACCTCCATCTAGTGTCAAGGTCAAGAATTATGGAGCTATATATTCGCTCCCCAATACATCTTCATGGCATGGACTGTTTAATTAATTAACACATTAACAGAAGGACAACTTTACCTTTATGTTTTATTTATTAGGAAATATGAAATGTTTTTTAAACTTTATCAGTTAACTTTTTGAAGCACACTGGTGGTGTTGTATGTACAGCCTATTTTAGCAGAAACAGATCTGTTTTGACTACAGAGTGTTTGTATGTGTCTCATTTAATTTGTAGAATAAACCCAAATTCCAAATTAGTGAGGTTTCATTGTATCTGCAGTTGGTTTTCAGTAATTTTTCTTTCACTCTAAAAGTGCAGAGAAATAGTATTCTTTCACTGTGAGGAGTGTAGAGTAAGTATTACTAATTAATATGAAAATTTTGCATACACAAGTTTCACCAAAGTAAAAAAGACATTATGTACATATTTGTCAGTACTCATTTTTGTGTTTTTGAGTGTCATATACTTTCATGGGAATTTTAAATCTAGTAATGTGTGCCCTAGAACAGTGTTTCTTAACCTTTAAACGACTAAAGACAACGTATGTCGTCGTTAAAAGAATGTCCCCGGTACGAATGACAACATATGATGTCGCAGAGTCCGCGCGTGGC